AAAAAAAAGACAAAAAAAAAAAAAAAAAAAAAAAAAGAAAGAAAACAACAACGCCACCGACGACGACGACGACGACGACGACGACGACGACGCAGCAGCAGCAGCAACAGCTTCTATAAGATTGGGATGTAGGCAGTTCTTAATTAGTAGGCATTTTCTTAATTAGTGTTTGATGGGGGGGTTCTATAAGAAAGCAGGTTGAGCAAGCCATGAGGAGCAAGCCAGTAAGCAGCATCCCTCCTCGACTTTTGCTTCAGCTCCTGCTTCCAGGTTCCTGCCCTGATTGAGTTCCTGTCCTGACTTCCTTCAGTGATGAACAGTGATGTGGAAGCATAATCCAAATAAACCCTTTCCTCCCAATGTTGAATTTGGTCATAGTGCTTCATCACAGAAGTAGAAACCAAAACTAAGAAATTGAGTATGGAGGGTGGAGCAGTGTCATGTGTGCTTGCATAGGTCAGTTGCCAGCTTGCATCAATGGATTTCTTTCTATTTTTTGGGTTTTAGGGACGGAGCTAAGGCCATCAGGTTTGATGCCCTTACACAAGGAACTATCTTGCTGTCCCGGAAAGAGAAATTCTAGCCTATTTTATTTCTAAGGTTCTGACTACATTAGTATAGTCTTATTCCAGTAACATCAGGGAAAGCTTATTCTGTCACTACATTTTGGAATTTCCCTAACTTAACCAAATGCATTTTATCATTTGGAGATTTGCTGACAACAAAAAGTTCTAAGGATGACTTGCTCTTAAAAAGAACTTTGTGAGCTTTTTGGGACTAGTAATTTGTTGTTCATAATCTTGGCAGGGTTCAGCAGTCCTCTAAAATATTTCTGGTAGTCCCAGAGACAAAATTAAAGTAGAAAATTATTATCAGATTTCCATGAGTTTCTTGTTGTTTTAAAGATTAAATACAGCTTTACTATGGTATCCTAGATTTCCTGCACATTGACTTCTGTTTAATTCTCATATCTATTCTTCTTGAACTCTGAGCTTTCATTTTACTGATCTGATAGTCATGCCCCTGGTATGTCAGTCACAACACTCCTGCCCTTCTTTGCTGCTTGTCTTTAGGGCTCAGTTTAGTTTCACTTTCCCACAGCTTTCCCACTCAGGTAAACAAACCACTGCTCCTGTCTTGCATGTGCAGCCTCTAATGTTTCTCCATTCATTTGATACCCAGTCGTTGCTCTTGTAGTCCAAGTCTTTCTCTATCCTTCAGGGTTGTAAATTTCATTAGAGTACATATGTTCTCTTTTGGTTTTCTTACTCTTTTATTAATTTTTTTCCCCAGACATGGTTAGATATGGCATATGATAGAGGAAGAAAAGCCAAGGAAGAATGAAGTTGCTTCTAGCCTGGTACCTGGAATAGATGATTGATTAACTTGTCTAGGAATGAAACTGGGGACCAGTTCATTTAAGTAGGGTAGCAGATATAAACTGAATTTCAGGGTCTACAAAGTAGTATAGAAGCAGATGCCCAGGTATTAGAAGTGTAGGCAGAAAACATATGTTGGAAATTGAAGTCTTCTCTGTAGGCTATAACTGAAGCTGTAGAATAAACAAGATTATCCAAGAGAACTGTGAAAAAAGAAAAGGATTGAAAATAGACACTTGTGGAGTACACCTGGTTAAAAAAAAAGAGAAACTGTCCAGGTGTGGTGGTGCACCCTGCAATCCCAGCACTTGGGAGGCAGAGATAGGTAGATCTCTGTGAGTTGGAGGTCAACTTGGTCTACAGAATGTGTTCCAGGCCAGTAAGGGCTACCCAAAGAAACCTTGTTCAAACAAAATAAACGAGACTCAGGCATTGGGGTAGGGTGGGCGTCAGGTGTGTAGGGATGGATGAAAGCTGAAACAGTGTTAGCGGGTAGGAGTTTAGCTCAGTAACTGGGTCTCTTGCTCAACATGACCAAGGTCCTAGGTTTGATTCCCAGTTCTGCCAAAACAAAACAGTGTTAGGGCAACTTGAGGGCAAAATATGGATACAGTGTCAAATGCTGCAGAGAAGGTACATTGATGAGGGATAAGAAGAAGATAGATGTAAATAGTAACTTTGGAGAGAGCAGTATAAATAAACAAGAGTAATATTCAGATTCCAGAGAAGTCTGAGGCAAGTGTGAAGAGAGGAGTGAGGTTATATGATTAGAGTAAAACTCCCAGTTTTGCCTCGGATCAGTGAGCCATTGAAATAAATTCTTTTAGTCCCGAATTGAGTTCTGCCTTGCCTGTGTGAAGATCTACTTTAACACAGTATCCAGAGCCCTGTTTTCTTTTGATTACCTATAAATGTATCCAATTTAAAGTCTTTCCATCCTATCTGTGGTAATTGTTTGGTGGGCTGGATATATTCATGAATACTGATTTTTTTCATCTTTGTTTTTCTTCCAGAATACAATTTTCCCAACCCAAATCACTAATGAGCATGAGTCACTGGTAATGGTGAAGAAACTTTTTGCTACTTCTATCTCATGTATAACATATTTGAGGGGCCTGTTTCCAGAGAGCTCTTACAGAGATCGCCATTTGGATGGTAAAGTTGAGTTAAATGATTGCTTTGGCTAGTGTCCCTTTTCTTATTAGCAGGAACAAACCTTCCCTCTCTCAAAGAGAGCATTAATTCTAATTCAGAGGCATGTTCTTCAGAATCAGCTTACTAATTCATTTTCCATTTTAATTTTGCTGGGAATATTGGTTTTACTTATAGGAGCCATTCACTTCTAGCTAGCTATCAAATGCAAAAAGAAACGTGTGGAGCTAAGTCTAGTAATTCTAAGTCATCCCTATAGAAACCAGGAAAAAAAAGGAATCAGGTGAGAAACTTCTGTCTTTTAACATACATAAATATGCCTGGGAGAGGCAAATCTATTTGTTGATTAGCATGGTTATTTAGACAGTTATTTTAATCAGTTCTGTTCTTTTGACAATAGCCAGTCCTACCTCTTCATTTCATTGTTATTAGTGTGTGTGTTTGTGTGTGTGTGCATGTGTGTGTGTTGGTGTTTTTCTGCACAGATGTGCTACCGTGGAGGTCAGAGGACCAGTTTTAGTCAGTTGTCCTTTCATTACCAGGAATGAACTCAGGTCTTTAGGCCCATGCATCAAGCATTTCTACCCACTGAGCCGTCTCACTGGCCCCAAGTTCTTCAACTCTTATTTTTTCTGTCTCTTTGTGACCTTAAATTTACATATTATAACTTTATATTACAAGCTGTATCTAGCTCCTTAGAAGAAATTGTACTGGAGGCTCTTCATCTTAGGATCTTTTTGAAAAGCTGGGTTGTGGGTTACATGTGGTGGTGTGTATATTTAGTCCCAGCACTCAGGAAGAGGTAGGAAGAGCTCTAAGTTTAAGGCCCAACTGGTTGATGTAGAGAATTCTATTCCAGCCAGGGCTAAATAGTATGACCCTGTCTTAAAACAACAACAACAACAACAACAACAAGCAAATCAAGCTGGGCATGGTGGCGCACGCCTTTAGTCCCAGCCACTGGGGAGGCAGAGGTAGGTGGATCTCTGTGAGATGAAGGCCAGCCTGGTCTACAAAGTGAGTTCTGGGACAGCCAGAGCTGTTTCACAGAGAAATCATGTCTTGAAAAACCAAAAGAAAAAAAATCAAAACAAAACAATTAGCAAGATGGCTTATCCAGTAAAGGTGTTTGCCATCAAGCCTGACAGCCTAACTTCAGTCCCCAGAGCCCACATAGTAGAAGGAGAAAACCAGCTCTCCAAGTTGTCCTCTTACCTCTCTATATATATGTGCTGTAGCACAAACTGGTGAGGCTGGAGAGATGGCTCCATAGTTAAAAACACTGGCTGTTCTTCCAGAGGATCCGGTTCAATTTCCAGCACCTACATGGTTCATCCCAATCATCTGTAGTTCCAGAGGATGCAATACTCTTTTCTGTCTTCCCTAGGCACCACACACACACATGGTGCACAGACATACATACAGGCAAGGCACCCATATATATAATAAAAATAAAATAAAAATTTTAAATTTTTTTGGTGTAAGTCATGTTGATTAATCACTAAAGTGGAAAATATCATTTGGGAAGGAAATATAGAGAAACATATATTTCCTTTTAAGATGCTATTTTTCCAAATCTAATTTAATAATATACCATGGTTTCATTCCAGTATAATTTTCTTAAGCAATATTGATTTTCCAAATGAACATCAGTGAAATGCATGTTTGCTATAAGCACATAAGCATGGTACTTGTAATCATGACACCTTTCTTTGTGTTAATGACTTCTTTTAACTTATGTGACAGATCTGTAAGATTTAATGTGTTTATAGGTAGCATATAATTAGTTTCCCTTCCTGTTTGGAACATAGAATTATAAAAAAAAGATCTGCTTTGGTAAATTTAAACACTTGTTATATGTCATTTACTACTGCTGACATAAAAACAAAACAAAACAAAAAACCAAAACACAGTTCTTACCTCAAAAGGTAAAAGAGATAGTTTATTCTAGAGCCAAATGTGAGTGATACAGATTTAGGTTGCTGCCAAACCCAAATTCCATACTCCAGTGTGGAAGTAGTTTCATGAAGTCCATATGGTAACAGAACAAAGAAAGTCATAAATGAAGACACTCTTTTCAAACCTTGGTGGTAGTGGGGTATAGCAAAGTGGAGAAATCTCTGCTATCAGCCTCAGATGCTGTCTGCTGACATTTTTCAGCTTTTGTGTTGGTGTAAGCTAGGGAGTCTGGTACATTCCAAAAAGATTCACCTAATATACCCACGGATGTTAGCTCATAAACAGAGGTAGGCAATAAATGGCTATTAAGAGGACTAGAAAAATTACAAGATATTTGTAGTTAGGCTCTGGACTTGGCAAAATTCCAACCTTTCCACAATCATTGAAGTTTTAATCAGTCCACCTTGAAAAGTGTAGCTTCTTTTTAGGAATGTTGGCTCAAACATTGCTCATAGTTTCATTTTTTGTTACTGATATAGAAGTTAGTCTCCCTCTTTGAATTTGTATTAACGTGACATGTCACAAAAATGTTCAATAGTAGGCAGAGTTTTTATTAGGACAGCCAGCCAACTCCCAAATAACCACACAGACTTACTATTAATTATAAATGCTCAGCCTATAGCTTAGCTTGTAACTAACTAGCTCTTTAAACTTAAATTAACCCATATTTCTTACCTACACTTTATCACGTGGCAGTACCTTCTTTTAGCAAAGCAAGTTCATCTTGCTTCTCTCCATGTCTCCTGGTGACTCTGCCCTCCTTCCCTGAACTCTCTTGGCCTGCAAGTCCTGCCTAACCTCTACCTGCCTAGCTATTGGCCAGCCAGCTCTTTATTAACCAATGAGAATAATACATATTCAGTGTACAAAAAGATTGTTCTACAGCAGCAGTGTTTTTACAACACTCTTCTTTTCAATAATCTCTAAGTATTTGTCAATTTGTCAAGAATAATTTTCATATCCCTCAACAATAGTGGAAGTGATGTTAACTTTAACATAGGAAAACAATATGAAAAGATGAAAGACTCTTGAGAGTTGGTGAGTTGGCTCAACAGCAGTAAAGGTACTTGCTGCCAAAGCTAATGATAAGAGTTCAATACCTGAGACCCACACAGTGTGAGGAGAGACTCCTGTAAGTTGTCTTCTAACTGCTACAAATGAAATGTGGCACTTTTGCACAAGTACATACTTTTATGCAAATCCATAAGTTGGTAAATATTTCAAAATTCAAGAAGCTCCTATTAAATTATACATGAGTTAATGATTTTATACTGATTTTGACCCAAACTTGTAATGCCTTCATTTTCTTCCCTAACATGGAAAAGTTATTAGATTTCACTTGGAAATGTTTGAGAATATACATTTGGCATTTAATTTTTTTCATTGAGAGGGAAATAAATAATAATGAATTGGGACTGTGTTTAAATTGTCAGTTGAGATGATCTAGGATTAGATTACTTAGGAGGAAACAAAAAAGTACTGGAAACCAACTTTGCAGTAAACCCAGCTGAGCTACACTGTAGACTGGGAAGTCTGCTAAACTGCCTCCAAAATTAGAACTGAGATAATTATCAACATAGAATCTATTTTTAAAGTAAGCATTTAGAAATTTAAAAAGTGCCAGGTGGTGGTGGCACACATCTGTAGTCCCAATACTGAGGAGGCAGAGGCAGGTGGAAATCTGTGAGTTCAAGGACAGCCTGGGCTACACAGAGAAACCATGTCTTGAGGACCCCCCCAAAAAAAAAACAAGAAAGGAAAGAAAGAAAAAAATGCAGGAAATGATTTTTCAGTACAACAGTTATGTTTCTATTTTTTTAGACCTCAGTTTAAAAATTCTCCGAGAAGACAAAAAGTGTCCTGGGTCATTACATATTATTAAATGGTAAGTAAATTCTGTAAATTTGAATAGCATTTTTTTGTCATGGTTGAAATTACCCATAAGAGTTTATTTTGCAAAATCATTTCCTTAAACCACTTTTCTTAGTTCTCTTTCCTGGAAATTGTAGCAACTATTCAGTATTTTAAACTATTGATTTAATTTTAGAAGAAAATGGACTTGTATAAAGAAAAAATTCTAAATTTGGTTATTCATCATGTGTGTATCCGTGTACTAACATTGAAGCACTCTGTGCTTCAGAATTGCTTATCTATCTTTATAATATTCCATAAGTTTGTGGATAATATTCCATAAGTTTGTGGATAATATTCCATAAGTTTGTGGAAAAGATGTTGGGAGTTTTAAAAGGTGATTAAACAAAAGGCAAAATGATTGTTAATTTACATACTTCAAAACAGAAGTGCAAACTAATTATATACTTGGATTTATTTTTTGACTGTTCATGTGGTCCGAAGTGACACTGGATATTTATTTCTTAACAGGATTCAAGGTTGTTTTGATGCTTTGGAAAAGAGATACGTAAGAATGTTTTAAAATTTTCATCAGGATTAAAGATTCATCTTTTACCCTTTAGAAAAGTTTAGACTTTTTATTTTGTAGTGTTTAACAGTGTAATAGTACCCTCCTTTGTGTTCACCAGTCGTTTTTCTTTTATTTTGTCTTTGTTGTCCTACTGATGTCTCCCTTAACATCAATTAGAAACTGAAGCTTCATTCTCCTCTTTTATATACTCATATCTTTTTCAACCACAGAGTTTCCTCTGAAGTCACTGGGCAAGATCCACAGGATGTGGGTTAGGGAAGACAAGAATCTGGTAGCTAGCAATTGAACATGTTCGTAATAGTGGTAATTCAGTTTACTGATGGGAAAGGAAAAAATAGTATTAAATAATGGATTTTTACTCATTTATTTTAGTATCGATAACTCCTGCATATGATCGCTCATGCTTCCCTAGACAGTTATGAAGAGTGTGAAAAGTGAAGGCTCTAGGCCTGGTTGAAGAGATGAGATGCATATAAATAAAATGGCTGCTATTATGCTGCCTTCACTTTTCCCAGTGTCTTTACTGTTTGGTTCCAATTTAAGAAATGTTGAGGTGATTAAGCTTTTAGTTAATATATTTAGTGTAGTCATGGATTCCCTCTCTTGAGTGAACAGTTACTCTTCATGACTTATTCTATGTTGACCCACGGTACAGAGGAATACAAAGATAAAACGGGTAAAGGAAGGGCTTATAGACTGTGGCAGACTGTGAGTGGTGCTCATATGAGGTCTGACGATTAGCAGTTATACACTGGTCCTGCTAAACTATCGGCAGTACTTCTGTATCAATGGGAAGTTGCTTTTAGAGCCCTAGATTCCTACCAACACTTTTCCCCCTTACCCCATCAGAGTTTCCTTTGAGAGCTGCCCAGACCAATTAAAAGAATCTAAAAGTTGTTCATAGGAACTCAGCTCCAGAGCTATGTTTGCACCCTTTCTGATTGGTCGGTACGTTTGTCATACTGGACTTGATGTTTTCCATGTCAGTTTGATACTTCCATATAAAATAGAGATATTTTGACATCACCCTATCACAATACAAGTAACAGTACTACTCCTAACTGTGCATGCCAAAGGAAAGGTGGAGAATCTGTGCAGCAGGAAAACAGAACAAAGGAGAGGTTCTACCCAGCAGAACTTCAAGGGGAATCTTTAAAAGAAAGACTCTTTGGGAATGAGTGCAGGCCAGCTTCACACATCCTAATCTAGTGCTGTGTCCTCCAGCTGTATCTCCAGCTTAAGAAACATTGACTATTGATCTTTGAGGCCTCTGAACACTTGGATGAGTTGAGAAGGGTTTGAGGGTCATCACAGGATTTAACAGTTTATTAACAACATTTCCAGAGACAGTACAATGTAAGTGACACTTCTTGGACTAGAGAGATGGCTTAGTGGTTAGGAGCACTTGTTGCTCCTGGAGAGGACCAGGGTTCAGTTCCTAGTTACCACATGTTGATTAATAACCATTCATCTAATTCCAGGGGATCTAATAGTCACACACATGGTGCACATACATGCATATAGGCAAAATAATCATGCACATAAAATATTATCATATTAATAATAATAATAATAATAATAATAATAATAATAATAATAGAGCAACTTTCTGCAGTCAGTCTGAGGTGAATCCCAATTTTGTTATTTATATCTCTGTGACTTAGGACAAGCAACCTACCATAGTACCTTAGTTTATCAACAAAAATGTGATTAACATAACCTACCTCTGAAGAGTTATTCTGAAATTGAATGAGTTAGAGGCAGACAAGATGGTTCATCAGATAAGGGTACTTGTCACACAAGCCTGGGACCTACTGATCCTTGAAACATATGAAGAAATGGGAGGAGAAAATTGATTCCACAAAGTTGTCCTCCGACTCTTACATGCCATGGAATATGTGCCCCAAACACATTTTATACACACACACACAACAATAATAAATGAAACTTTTAAATTAAAAGAATACTGAGTAAGTTAGTAATAGAAAACAATAGTTGAACTGTCCTGGGAACATCAAAACACAAACGCTGGGGCTAGAGAGTTGGTTCAGTAGTTAAGAATATTGGTTGTTTTTCCAGAGGACCAGGGTTCAAGCTCAGCACCCAGTTCACTAGCATCTGTAACTAGTTCCAGGGGATCTGATAGCCTCTTATGGCCTCTGTGGACACTGCATGCAATGCTGCACTATCCATGCAGACAAAACACCTACACACACAAGTAATACGTCTAAAAAATTTAAGAATAGACAAAACCTCAGATACAGACGTGTCCAATCCACATCCTGTGGGCCATGTGGCTCAGGATAACTATGAATGTGTTCCAATGCAAAATTGTAAACAATAAAACATGAGACTTTTGTGATTTTCTTTTTTGTAATTTTGTTACATGGTTTTCCAGTGTGAACCTTGTAGATGACAATGTCATTTCACAGTATCAAAAAGTTGGACATGCCTGATGGACTCTTAAAAGTATTTACATTATTTTTTAAAGATTTTATTTATTTATTATGTATACAACATTCTGCTTCCATGTATTTCTGCACATCAGAAGAGGGCACCAGATTCATAACAGATTGTTGTGAGCCGCCATGTGGTTGCTGGGAATTGAACTCAGGACCTCTGGAAGAACAGTCAGTGCTTTTAACCTCTGAGCCATCTCTCCAGCCCCTATTTACATTATTTTTGATTGTTAGTATTTTATAACTTCTCTCATATGATCTTATTGCAGGGAGTATATATAATTAAGTAGTTCAATGGGAAATTGAGGCAGAAAGATCACAATCAAGGCCATTCAGGCTGTGTGACAAGACCCTGTTTCTTTAAAAAAAAAAAATAGTAGTTTAAGTAAAAACAAGTTTGAGTGAGTAGTTATAACCCTTGGACTAATTATGAAATTCTGGGGACTTTATAGTTTATGGTAAGTTGGAATTCTTTAACATAAGCTTATATATTAAAGTAATTCTTATAAAAAGGAATTATATAATTTCCTTATTTATTCCCACTCTCATCTCTTATAATTTCTTCCCACTTTCCACACTACATTGTTTCAAAAACTGAAGCCTGGTCATGTTATTCTTTATACCTAAAAATTTTCCAAGAATTTTAAAACAAAGTTTAAAGTCCTTCAAATGATGAAGAAGGCCTAAATGATCCCTATTTGCCTTTCTAAGATACCCCTCATCCCCATGTTCAAGCTACATAAAGACTCTAGAGCATGTGAGTTCCTTTATCTATGCAATACTGCCCCTCTTGCCTGAAACATTCTCTCCCAGACCCCAAGCACATGTTCTGCCTAACTCCAATTCTGCAGCTAAAATTGTTCACCATTCAGTGTTCTTCTTATACCCTGTGTTGTTTTTTCACAGCAAAAGAACATGAGTGTAATGGTGTAGCCATGTGATTTTTTCTTAGTGTTTGTCTCCATTGCTAGTCTACATGTTTACTGAGATTAGTGGCCATATTTTTTTAATGTATCAATAAACTATTAATAGTTGTTTTACTGTGTGGTCATAAAAATGAGTTATGTACCAAAATAGCCACATGGTGGCACTAAAGTTTTAGTCAATTGCTATGGAATTATAGTCCTCAAATTTTATATTTCAGGTTTAAATTTTTATCTTGCATATATATATATATATATATGTCTATGTCATATATGTGTGTCTAAATATCTATGTCTATGTATTCAGAAATTCATTAAAGCTGAGGAAATGTCTTTATAGTTGTGTGGTATATAGAGACACAGGAATTTGTAAAATAAACCAGACTTCCTAATATTTTTACCTTGCCAGATTAGTTTCAAAGTACCTTTTAGAGATTCTTGTGGTACATTTAATTTTGAGCAAGAATGGATTGTTTTGCTTATCTTTGGTTCCCAAATTAGAAAATAACAACTCTTTTTGGTATCCTTCCTCTGTCCCAGTAAAGTCAGTGTTTGTAATAAACATTGTTTGAATGAGTGAATTATTAGTTCCTTTTTCTGGCCTCCTGAATATGCTACTCAAGTATTTGGAACCTCCCTAAAGTCATATTTTGATTAGTCTCTATCAGAAATAACAGTACAATAGTGCAAAGCATAAAATAACGCAGTTTTCTTTTCTCTTAAAGCTTCACATGGCTGTGCTAACAGTAAGTATGTGCTTGGAAACTAGGTCTCTGTCTCTGAATTGATTTCCAGCAAGTGAAGCACTTAGAGAGTAACCTTACCCTTTCTCCCTTTTTGAGATTTATGGCATTTTAACATTTAAATATTGGATATATCAGCCTGGTGGTGGTGGCACATGCCTTTAATCCCAGCACTCAGGAGGCAGGGGCAGTCGGATCTCTGAATTCAAGATAAATCTGGTCTACAGAATGAGTTCTGACAGCCAGAGCTACACAGGGAAACTTTGTCTCCAAAAACAAAACAAACTAACAAAAAATTGGATATGTCAGTGCTTTAATAAGATATTATAAATATTCAATGTATTTCTTTGGCATATATGTTACATGAGAGAACATACAGCATATAGCTATTAACACTTAGGATTTCATTTTTGGTTTTAGTTATGTAATAGATTCAAAGTTTTTTGCTTTTGAAGTTTTGTGGACTTTAAAAAAAGTTTTATATACCCTTGGGTAGAAAATGATGGTAGAAAATTGAGATACCATTGATAAAATATATATTAATTATTTAAATATTTTATGGCTCAGTCATATTAATTACAGATACGTTGCATCAATTTTAAGAAACTTCCTCACATTTAGTGTTTATAGCTAATTCTAAAGATTCCGTGTTCTTGCTGAACGGTGGCACATGCTTTTAATCCCAGCACTTGGAGGCAGAGGCAGACAGATCTTTGTGAGTTAGAAGACAGCCTGGTACACAGAGTGAGTTCCAGGACAGCCAGGAATACAAAGAGAAACCCTGTCTCAAAACAAAACAAAACAAAACAAAAACCCACACACAAAAAAAGAGATTCTGTGGTTTTTTTGAGATTTATTTATTTATTATGTATACAACTAGATGTCATTATGGATGGTTGTGAGTCACTATATGGTTGCTGGGAATTGAACTAAGGACCTCTGGAAGAGCAGCCAATGCTCTTAACCTCTGGGGTATCTCTCTTGTCGCCGATTCTGTGTTCTTAATAAAATAAACTTTAATCCTATCTCTGGCTTGAAATATGCCCAGATAGTGCTTAGTTAACAGCACAAATTGAACCATTTACATAAATAGTGCATTCAGTGAGCAGTAATCTAGTAAATTTTGGAAATTAAGTGCTCTATATTTTTCTTTAAACAGCTATACACAAATCCCAAGGAACCTGAGGTAAGATGGTAGTATATACATGGTAATGTATGTATATTATATATTAGTATGTTTGTCTGAGTTGAGGCTGTAGATTATGTTACTAGACTACCGCATGAATAGAGCAATTCATCGTGAATATTATATTTTATTATAAATGAACCAGTCTTTTATTATGTGATCTTTTACAAGCTATGTAAGAATGTTAGAAAAAGAAAAAACATTGATTAGAGCTGAGGCTATTTTGTAACTTGTCAACATTAATCATAAATGTGTAGCAGCTATACTTTATTATTTTAATTATTCCTTTTTATGATCTTTTGGAAAAATAAAAGATACAGCACTATTCTGAACTCTTTAACCCCTAAATTCTCCCTGTTGTTTTTACAGACTTTTTGAGGGCATTAGGTTGTGTTTTTGTTTTGTTTTGTTGACTTTTTTGAGGCAAGGTTTCTCTGTGTAGCCTTGGCTGTCCTGGAACTACTCTGTAGACTATGCTGGTCTTGAACTCACAGACATCCGTCTGTCTTGCCTCCCAAGTGCTGCGATTAAAGGTGTGCACCTCCACCCTGGGCTTGAGAGTATTAGTTCTTTACTCCTATCTTTAGATTCTCCAACTTGCTTAGTGAATCCTGCACCTTGCTGGCCTGCTAGTATTCAAGTCTTTTATGAAAGCCTCTTCAGCTCACTGTCTGAACTAACTTCTATCTTTTCTGTTTTGTTTTTGTTTTTGTTGTCCGTCCCCCACCCCCCTCCCCAGACAGGGTTTCTTTGTGGCTTTGGAGGCTGTCCTGGAACTAGCTCTTGTAGTCCAGGCTGGTCTCGAACTCACAGAGATCTACCTGCCTCTGCCTCCTGAGTGCTGGGACTAAAGGCATGCACCACCACTGCCTGGCTAACTTCTATCTTTTCTAAGGTTTTTCCCCAGCAGAGCCCTATGGTTTAAACCTCTCAGTTGATTTATATATTTCCTATATTTCCTAAGAAGATTAGGAGTTCTTGAGGATAAGGGTGTTGTTTTCTGCCTTACCAAGTGAATAGTACAGTCTTAAACACCTAATAGTCATTTGTTCCACTTTCATGACTTTTATACCTGTGACACAGAGATGGAATGAGAAGCCCTTTGTTTTTTCATTCTATTTTGTCTCTCCTAGATTTCTTTTCTTTTTTTTCCCTTGCTTTAAATTTTCCTTCTCTAGGCCAGTGGATTTAGTCTAACTGGTGATATTCAAGACTAAATTGTTTTTAAGTCCTTAGTATTTTCTATTTGTAAGACTACAAATAACCATGTAAGTAAGTGGGGAAATTGCTGCACACAAGTATATACCAAGTCATTAATGCCCAAACTGGTCTTAGGTTCTGTTCCTTGAATCTTTCTCCTCAACCCTCTGTTTTTAGAACTCACTGTGTAGTTACAGATTGCTTTGTATCATCCTGCCTCCACCAAGTGCCCCAGTTGTTTTTGTGAGAGGGTTTGAGATTATAAGGTACCACATGTCTGGTTTACTTGGTCCTGGGGATGGAACTCAGTCTTTGTGCATGCTGGATAAGCACTCCACCAACTGAGCTACATCCCACCCCCAACTTTTTCTCCTGTTTAGTTTCAAAATGATTTTTTTTAAAAAAAAATTAGGATTGAGAAGTTTCCAAACAAAAACTTCCTGACAACCTGTTAGTAGATTGAACTCTGGTTAATTTTGATTCATAATGTTGTTTATTTGCAATCTTAAAAGAAATAATAAGGTTTTTAATTTTTATTAAAAAAAGAATCAATAGTTTTAGGTGTGGTAAAATCAAGCTTACCTTTAGAAAAATCTGACAGAATGAGAATAAAGCTGTTAGATTAGTGCTAGCATATATGATAATGGCATTTTAAAAAGAGGACTTTTATATGTTCCAAGCTCTCTATGACTCAACAAAAATATTTTGAATGCTTGCCAGTTATATGCTATGGTAGTAATCCCTAAGTACTAGGTTTTAATGGCACACTTCTGATTACTAAAAAAAAAAAGAGATAGAATATTTGAGTCTTAAAAAAACCTCAAAATAGAGACATACTTGGTTCCCTGGAGAAGGGGAAAGGGTTAAGATCCTCTGAGCAAATTGAGAGCACGGGAAGATGGGGGTGGGGGAGCTATGAGAATGAGAAGGGAAGAAGAGGAAGGATGCAGAGGTCATGAGGGAGCAGAAAGGTTGAGTCAGGGGAAGAATAGAAGAAAGGATATCTGATAGGTAGGGTTTCAGTTGCGGAGTTGGGGGGTGGTAGGGGAGGATGGGAGGGAGAAGGGAACTGGATTGTCATGTAAAACAATCTTGTTTCTAATTCAAATAAAAAAAATCTTGAAAAAAAAACCCCTCAAAATACTACAGGTTGTTTTAAAAACAAAACAACTCAAAAACAAAGTCAATAATTGTATTAGTTACTTTTCTGTTGAATTGATAAAACAGCATCATCAAGAGCAATGTAGAGAAGAGTTTATATGGGCTTACAGTTCCAGAGAAATAAGGTCATCATGGCAGGGAGGCATAGCAAGTAGCAGGCATGGCAGCAGGAGTAGGAAGCTGAAAGAGCAAATTGGAAGTGGGAATGAGATTCTATGCTACCTAAGCCCACCCCGCAGTGATACACTTTTCCAGCAAAGTTCCTCTTGAAGGGTCCACAGCATCCTCAAACAATGTTACCAACGGGGAACTGAGTGTTCAAACACTTGAGATTATGACGGATATTTGTCATTCAAATCACCATAGCAATGATGATTACAGTATCACTACTACAACAGTTCTATAGTGTTCATGGCTGCTACCTAATCCCTAGTCACTGAGAAAGCTGTGTAGCTTTCTGATCTCATCCTCATAAATACTCATGTAACAGCATTTTCAGATAAAGTCTCTGGCATTTATTGATACTGTGCCAAAGGCTTGATTCATACCACTGAAAGGATAACTGTCCCTAAACAAGATGGCACAAAAATAAGAATATTATTTATTTGGAAGAAAAACAGACTTTACACACAGTGTTAAAATTCAAAACACTCCTATGAAGAATACCATAGTATAACAGATGAACCATAGATAAAATCCAAGTGTGTTTCTCTAGTTCAGAAAGTAATAGAATTAGGAGCAGTGCATACAGTTGTGGTAATTTTCACTTAACAGTTTTGTTCTGACTGTTTTCTTTAAAGAGATAACCTGAGAAAAGCTGGGCTGTGGTGGTGCATGTCTTTAACCCAGCACTCAGGAGGCAGAGACAGGTGGATCTCTGTGAGTTTGAGGCCAGCCTGGTCTACTGAGCAAGTTCCAGGACAGGTTCCAAAGCTAAGAGAAACCTGTCTTGGGGCGGGGGGGAGAGGGAGAGGGAGAGAGAACCTGAGAAAAGTAACTAAAGTAATGAAAAGTGACAATGAATGAGCTTTTCTACAAGCACAGACTGAAATGTGGGAGAGTATTAATAAGGCATGTAAGCCAAATAAGTCTTAATTTGTAATAAATCATTAAGAATTACATGTATGAATTTCATGAGACTAGCAATGTTACTGTTTCACTGTCTAGTCCTTTGTTCCTATTGGAGGTGACCAATGTACAATTTTAATTGCCTGTTTCAGGAACTGAATAATGGGTGATCCTAAAATATGTGTTTAGAGGCTTAAATTTTTTTTTTCATTATTAGAGACCAGGTGTGGTAGCAAACCTAGAATTGTAGCACTCAGGAGGCTGAGGCAGAAGGATCATGAATTCTAGGCTAAGCTGGGCAACATAGCAAAAAACTGTGTCAAGAATAATTCCTTATGAAATTCTATGTGAAGATGAACTGTAATTGTATTCCTTTTTTGTACTTAGTACTGTCACAGACATAAATGGGACAGACCAAGTCTCTGACCTCGAGATGCTAATATTTTTATGAGGAAGGATAAACAATAAGTAAATAGAAATTAGTCAGAATAAAGTAGTAATGCCATGAAGAAAGTTTGAAAAGGTGTTGTGCTGGTTAGTGATGAGGTAAAGATCAGAGAAGGAGGGCTTGGATGGCTGTTTTAGATCGACACAGCCATAGGCAACATCCCTACTGAACCACTATTGGAGTCAGCTTTTCCAGATCTGTGAAAGGTACCAGTATATGACAGGCACTGTAATTAGCATGTTCTGGAGTCAGATTGCAGCTCTACCACATACGAGCTTCATCAATAATGGGAACATTAACACCTACATCAGAGTGTTGGCAGAATGATCCAGAATATAGACACACTGAGACCCTAAGACAGGAAGTGTTTATAGACAGAAAAGATATCCTGTGTCTGGTGCTTGAGTGAGTAAAAGGGAAAATTGTAGAAGAGGTAAAGTAGAAGACAGATGAGGAAGGTGTCATAGAGTTTATTCTAAGGACAGTGAGAATTCTGCCAGTGGAGATGGACTTGAGGAAAGGAGTGACATGGTCTCATTTGTGCATGAAAGTCTGTTTTTATTGTAGTCCTCAGAATTGAACTGAGGCCTTGCCTATGCCCCACTCCTGCCATAAGCCTTTTTTTTTTTTAACATTATTTTGAGTTGGGTATCTCAATATGTTATTCAGGTTGGCTTTAAATTGTGAATTCCCTGCTTCAGCATACTGAGTAGCTGGGGGTGCAAGCATGTGTAATCTATACCTGATTTGCATTTTCAAAAACTCTTGGCTAGAGAACAGAGAATAAAGATCACATGGATTTATGATTCACTTTGGAGACAGACTGAGAAGTCTTTCCAGTGGATTGGAATGTGGAGTGAAAAGCAGCCTGAACATGTTTGAAGTTATTAAGAATTAACAGTTTTAGGGGCTGGAGAGATGGCTCAGAGGTTAAGAGCACTGGCTGCTCTTTCAGAGGTCCTGAGTTCAATTCCCAGCAACCACATGGTGGCTTACAACCATCCATTATGAGATCTGGTGCCTCTTCTGGCATGAAGAAAATGTATGTAGAACACTGTATACATAATAAATAAACTTAAAAAAAAGCTTTTCAGTTTCAGGAGGTCCCATTTATATATAAAAAAAGAATTAACACTTTTAAATAATTATTCTTTAAATTTGTATACCTTTGTGTCTACTTGTCTGTATGTGCATCATGTGTGTGCAGTGCTCTTAGACTCCAGCAGTGGGTGTCAGGTCCCCTGGGACTGGAGTTCCAGGCAGTTTTGAGCCTCCTGATGTAGGTGCTTGGAATTGAACCTAACTCCTCTGTAAGAGTAATAAGTTCTCCTAATCTCCATCCTCAGGATTAACATCTTTTGTAAAACAGTTATTTATCTTTATAATAAAACAATCAGTTTAAGAATCAATTAATAAAAAAAATACCAACTACTTAAAGATCTCCTTTATTTACAAAATACATTTTCATGGTATTTAGAAGCTAGAGTTGACTAGAAACATGGGCAGGCAAGAAGAATAGGCATTGTTTACTTGACAGTTATACGACACTGTGTATCTACTCCATCTGGAGGGAACTTGTTGCTTTTAGGCACCTGAAGCCATCTCTAATCTGACCCATCTCTTCTATTGTATTCACAAAGCAGCCTTCTGAACTTGGTTTGATTTTTTTTTTCCCAAATAGGCAGACTAGTTATAAAAGCAATTCTCTTTTAAAACTTATTGCAGCCCGTCTTTTAGGTTCAGACAGTATGAACCAATTTCCCAGGAGCTGCTCACCTGTGATTAAGTTGTATGGTAAAGGATAACAGCAGATCTATGAGACTAAATCTTAGAGAAAGGTAACAGGAACATTAATACTCTTGTTAGTCACTCTAACAGCCTCAATTCCACATGGTCAAGGATTTATTCTGAACCAGATGAATGAAGTTTACCTTCTGTGTTCTGATTTCAGCTTATACTCACTCTATCTGCCTTTAACACCGTTAGCTCTGTCTGCAAACTATATAATTTATATGGGCAAAACATTATTTTTAAGCAGAAGTCTCTTAAATTAATTTTTATTTTATTTATGCATGTATGTGTGTGTGTGTGGGGGGGGTGGTGGTGAGTGGCAAGTGTGTGGGTATCAGAGGACAACTTTCAGGAGTCAGTTGTTCTTCTACTCTCTGTCCCTGGGATGAAACTTGGGTTGTCAGGCTTGCATTGTAAAAGCACTTTTAATCTCCGGGCCATGTCACTGGCCTGAAAGGAACTAGTTTATTTTCAGTAGTATATGTATCTTATGAAGAAATTTGTTCTCTATATTCTATCACACCCTTACTAGTTATGATAGCAGATAGCAGTAATGTTTTTTTTGTACAGGAAATAAGACTTGATGCCATAGACCATAGTTTCTTTTTCCATTTTTAAAATTCCTGTTGCCATTCACTCACTTCTTCCCTAAATTACCACAGTGGCTTTCTAGCACTAGCAATTCTTTTGGCTTCCCTGTCTGTATTCTTTCTTTCTTTCTTTCTTTCTTTCTTTCTTTCTTTCTTTCTTTCTTTCTTTCTTTCTTTCTTCCTTCCTTCCTTCCTTCCTTCCTTCCTTCCTTTCTTCCTTTTTCCTTTTTCTTCTTTTTTTTTGTTTTTGAGACAGGGTCCCTCTATATAGCCCTGGCTGTCCTGGAACATGCTGTGTGGACCAGTCTGGCCCCAAATTCATAGAGATCTGTGTTCCTTTGCCTCCAGAGTGCTGGAATTAAAGGCATGTGCCACCACACTTAGTCCTTCCTTGTCTACTTTTGCCACTGTGCTTTTGCTGTGAAGCAACACCATGACCAAGGATACTCTTACAAGAAAAAACATTTAATTGGGGCTTGCTTTCAGTTTCAGAGGTTTAGTTTGTTATCATTAGGTGAGGGGCATGCCGGCATGCAGGCAGGTGCTGGAGCAGTAGTTGATAACTACATCCTGATCTGTAGGCCAAGAGGGAGTTGGGGGAGTCAGATAGACACTGGACCTGATGTCACCAGTGACACACTTCCTCCAACAAGGTCACACCTCCTAACCCTTCTAATACTTTCAAATAGTTCTGCTCCCTCACTGGTGACTAAGCATTCAAACATAAGGGCCTATAAGGGCCATTCTTACTCAAAGCAATACTGTCTGTATTTTTAAGGCATACAAGTGGTCAGGTCTTGGGATTACTGACTTATTTAAACCTTCAATAGACTTTGATGAACTTAAAAAAAAATCCAAAATCCTATACTGTCAACAAAATTTCACAACTACACCTCTCATTTCCAGCTAGTTCGCTTCTTTTTGGATTCTAAAAAATGTATTCCTTCTCAATTAAGAGCTTTTGCATTACTGTTCTGTCTACCTGAGGCACTGGCCCACAGGTCTGTATATGACTGACCATTCTTGAAGCTCATCTCAAAATACCACATCTTCAGGAAAGTCTTCCTTGACTCCTCTAAATCTAGCTCTTCTTTCTCTCCATTATGTACTTCCTACCACAGCATCTGCTTTGTATTGTTCATGGCACCCATTTTATATGAAATTATCTTATTTTCTTTGTTTACTAGCTAGAATATTTGTAGATTCTGTGGAAAAAAAGTCTTTTCTGCCTTGTTCACCTTCTAGCTCAAAGTAGACATTTAATAAAACATTCATTACATGAATGAATGATTCCTCAGCTGGTAGAATTTAATGGAAATATTTGCTGCCTAACTTATTTTTAGTTGAGAGGAGGGAGATTAAGTCATCATACCTGAAACCATTATTCCTGGATAAAGTAATGCTTCAAGACAAACAGGAAGCATAGGGGGTATTCAGTGAAATGTTACTTTTTATTAGGTAAAAATCTGGTTTTGTTTCAAAATTAATTTCTTTCTCTGTTCCTTTGATTTTTCTAGAAAGTGACTGAGCTATACCAATTCAAATTCAAATACACGAAAAAAGGAACCACTATGGACTTTGACAGGTAGAATCTAATAGTTTAATGAGTGCAAGAAATGTATAGGAGTAAAGTAAATATAAGCTTCTATATGGCCAGAGGAAAGTCTTAAATCTTTTTGCCATTTTCTCATAAGCCCTATAAAACTCCACTATTATGAGTAGAAATTATAATAATTCTTTTAATGTCTGAAGTCTATAGACTAAGCTGGTAGGAGTAGAGGCAGTGGTTGTCATGGCACTTAAAATTATATTAAGAAAGGGGCTGGAGAGATGGGGCTCAGTGGTTAAGAAAACACTCGTCCAGAGGACCTGAGTTTGATTTCAAGCACTTACATGAGGTGGCTTACAACTGTCTGTAACTCCAGCTCCAGGGGAGTTATGCCTCTGAGGATACCTGCACTTGTGCACATACCCACATGTAGACACACCTACACATAGCTAAAAATAATGATAAACAAATATTGAAAAAACAAACAAGATTTAATTAAAAATGTAATAATAAGGCTAGCAACATGATGTTAGGTAAAGAACCTATATGACTGTCTCTGGCTATTATTCCAGTGGCTTTGTGGTATTAATTGATTTTTTTCTGTCTTCAAAACTGGCAGATTGAGCCTGAGGGAAGTGAAACTCCTGGATTATTTGCTTGCATACACAAATACTGTCATCGCTTATTCATATACATAACATTTTTTGTGTGTCACTCTTTGGGAGACTCATATGCACCGTTTTTTTCTATCAAGTCTTAAAATCCGTGTTTTAGATATAATAATAGGTCAAAGAGCAAAACCAGGGAAGACCCTCATACACACAGAGATGTTTGTTAAGGAGCAAACATTCTTCTCCCAGAAGCTTTTGGCTTTAGTCAACAGGCATGGAGAACTAAGGACTGCTGATGAAATAGAAGTAGATGAAATAGATATTGTAAAAAGGGGCTTCAAATAGGGTAGAGTACTAAAATGAACAATGCTGAAGAGAATTTGGCAAAATGCTGCCTTTTTTTTCTAGTTCTCCTAGGGAGCTTGAGGATTTCTCTCCAATACTGTATTAGGGTCTCTATTGCTGTGAAGAGGCACCATGATCACAGCAACTCTTATAAAGGAAACATTTAATTGGGTGGCTTGCTTATAGTTTAAAAAGTTCAGTCCATTATCATCATGTTGGGGGGCATGTGGTGTGCTGGCAGATGTGGTGCTGCAGTAGTAGCTGAGAGGCCTGTATCTTGCAGGAAACAGGAAGTCGACTGAGATACTGGGAGGTATCCTGAGCATAGGAAACTTCAGACCTGCCTCCACAGTGATATACTTCCTCCAACAAGGCCATACTTACTCCAACAAATCCACACCTCCTAATAGTGCCACTTTCTATGAGATTATGGGGGCCAATTACATTTGAATTACCACAAATACTTCCTTAATTATCCTCTCATTTGTGAGACTTGCAGAAAGTACTTAGATATAAGAAAAGTCAGTTCCAAAAAAAGAGTTTTAAAGTATTAGCCACATTTAATTAGTATTTATAACTACTTTTTTTGAGGCAGCATCTCATGTGGCTCAGGCTGACCTTGAACTTAACATATGGCAAGGTTGTGCTGTACCAAGCCCAGCTTCACACTTTTCTCCCCATATAAACAGTTGCCCTTAAGCCAGGCAGTGGTGGCTCACCCCTTTAGTCCCAATACTCGGGAGGCAGAGACAGGTGGATCTCTGTGAGTTTGAGGCCAGCCTGATCTACAGAGCAAGCTCCAGGACAACCTCCAAAACAATACAGAGAAACCCTGTCTCGAAAAAAAACCAACCAAACAAACAAAAAAACAAAAACAAAAACAACAACACCACCAAAAACCAGTTGCCCTTATTCTCTAAAACTCCAATATACATATTTTTGGCAACCAGAGTAATCTTTTTTTGTTTATTTGTTTTAGAGACACATGTTGAAAGGCAAACATTTAGTAAAGCAAATGGTTAAATCTTTCAGTTACTAAGGAGGTGAGAAGTTAGTATATAGCATAAATTTCTAGAAAGATTGTTTAAATGAGGGTCCTGAATATTATCTTCTAATGTTTCCTGGGGCCCCATGAGCTACATGTCTATAACCCTTCATTCTGGCTAGTTAAAAATCCTGGTAGACAAAACTTTTAAGTTGTTGGAAATAGAGGAGCTAAAGTATCCACTTACTATATATTTACTTTGTGATTTCTCACTGCCTCCAAAAGTCAGGGAATGACCTAACAGTTTAATTACTTGGGATGATTTTCTCATTGTTTAGTGCCAGTATATTTAAGGTACTGCAAATAAATTGCAGTTGTAGTTTGTCCTTGAATGTACTCAAAATGTGAGACTAATTGGGAAGAAAACTTTGGAGGGAAATGAAGATTTTGAATTAGAAGATAATTAGCCCAACTCATTCATTCATTCATTAATTCAGCAAATATTTATTGGGTTAGCTAGAGAATAAACCTAGTTTGGGGAGATGAAAGAGTCATCCATTCATAGTCTATATGGGAACAAATAATTATTCTGAGGGGGGAGGTGAAGAGCCTTGAGGTAGGTGCTACGGGAGCATTGGAAGAGAAACAGAAAGCACAGAAGTGAAGCATTTGCAAATGCATGTGGTTGAAACAAATTGGGTAGTAACTGCAGGAGATGGTGGAGGTGAAAGAATAATTAGTTGTACATACGCCATTGCCTGCATTGATTGAAGGGTGATGGATATGATAGAAGAGTTTTAAACAAGAAGATGACATGAAACAGACCTTCCTATTGGGAGTATTAATTTATGGAGAATGTCTTGCAGTGTAGACAAAAAGAAGAATAGACGCTTTGGTTATCCATGCAAGAATGAGGAGGGGATTTCCTTAAGAGACAATTATCTGGTAGATAAGCGTAGAGCTAGTGACTGATTTCATGCTTGGAGAGCTGCAGAAATGTCCATAAGCTTATCTCACAAATGGGCTAACTGACCTAGAATGTGTGCAAATGACTTGACCGAGGTCATTCAGCTAGTTAACAGTACAGTTGATATAGATGCTAGGTCACCTAATTACAAGTCCATTGTTATGAGATGTGGTTATTTGAAAGCCAAAATTTTAAAAATGATCATATTTAAAATGCTTTAGGGATGTTTGTTATTCACAAATACTTTGCCATATACATTACACAAAGTACTATCAGGCTAGAGAGATGGCTCAGTGGATAAGAACATTGGCTGTTCTTCTAGAAGTCCTGAGTTCAATTCCTAGCACCCACATGGTGTCTCATAACCATCTATAATGGATCTGATCCCCTTTTCTATCATGAAGATGTACAGGAAAACAGAATTCTCATATGCATAAATAAATAAATCTTATAAAAAAGTACTATCATTCCCTTAAGTTACCTCTTAAAAATTGTCTACAAAATGTCCTGATATTTAATTTATTAGATGACATTTGTATTTGTGAATATTATACATGATTGAAAAGTGCCACTTTTCTGTGATTACAGTAGTAGTACAAGCTTTGAAAGTGGGACAAACAGTGAAGATATTAAGAAAGCCTGTTCACTGCTGATCCGTCAATTGTATATACTGATGCAGAACCTTGGACCCCTTCCTAATGATGTTATACTTACCATGAAACTCCATTATTATAATTCAGGTAGGTAGAGAGAGACATTTGGTCAAATTCCTCCTTAAGTGCCAAGTGATGCTGTATATAAGTAGAAGGATTTTATAAGCATCTGAAAGATGTTTGTCACTATGTATGAAGTATTATTGTCACTTATCTTATTGAAACTTAATTTGCAATGTTTTGTCCTTTCTGCAGTGACTCCATATGATTACCAGCCCCCTGGTTTTAAAGAAGGGGTGAACTCACACTTCCTCCTATTTGATGGGGAGCCTGTGAGCCTTCGAATGGGTTCAGTCTCCTCTGGCTTTCACATCATGAAAGTAAAAGTCACAACTGAAGCCACCAGAATGCTCGATGGGGAGAACGGTCCTGTTCAGGAGAATGGCACTACTGAGATAGCTCATCAGGGTCTTGACTGTGATGAGGAAGAAGAGGACTGCAGCAACCACGTAAGGCCAAGTTTTAGTGATCCTTCATTGCTTCACTTAAGCACAGTGACATTTTTCATGTGTTCAGGTCATGTCACAGTAACAGAGTCCAGTGGAGCATGCGAGGTATGAAAACTGAAACAAAACTAGCCTCTGACGTCAAGCACTTTTTAGTAAAAAAAAAAACCTACAGTCTTCTAGAAGGAAATGCATGTCGTTAGATTGTCTAGCAATCAGAAAAAATCCCAATGTGCTTTATTTTTTATTAAGGGTACTTATATATTTATTTTTTCACATGAAAGTAATATATTTTTGGTACTTAAAATATCTAAGTATCTGACATGATCATGCTTAATAGAAGTATACATTAACTCCTGATTAGTAACTGGGCATGAGAGGGTTAGGGAAGAAAAATTTTACAGATTAATCTGAATCAGAGGGGAAAAAGAATGAAACCAGCTGCCATGACAAGCATTGTGGTTTGATCAGTGGGGAGAGCTGAGGGGTTGGTGGGCTTGCAGCCAGTGGGGCTGATGGGTAGAGCTTAGAGCCCTTGACTTTGTTTCTGTAGAGACTTGAAGCTGAGGACTTGGCAATTGTCTGAATAATAATGTTTGCTGTGTGCTGACATTGTAGTTAAAGGATTCTGAAACAAAAACATTTTCAAGCTATTTAGTGGGAAGGGATACTATAAAAACAGTTGAGGTATTTTAGGATAACTTTTTTGTTTGCCTTAGAATCCTACATTAAAAAGATGACTATAAGGGCTGTAGAGATGGCTCAACAGTTAAGAGCACTGGCTG